CACAACGTAAGCATACGGGAATTCAAGTTTTGAAAGGTAAGATCTTTGTATTTCATCTGGCATTCTCAAAGATCACAATAAATCTGATTCTGCTCCATTCTGCTGCAGCAACCCCCCATCCCTCATGTCATATACAACGAGAGGCGTAGTAAGGAGGCATTCTTACTTCAAAGGTATCTTAAAAACATTCCCAATCCCAAAACACCGATTAGCGATAGACGGAGAGACAGACAAAGGAAAACACAAAGCCCGGCCGAAGCCTCGCTTCAAAGGGGTGGAAGAATGTACATTTCCTGATATCGTTGTGCGAAAACCATGCAACCAGATTCCAGATTGATTGAGAAGAGAAAGGAGAGGTGACGATGCGCGCTAAATCCACAGTACAACACACGTTCAAGCAGCAAACTCAACGGCTTTATCGCTGACCTGTCACTGAAGAGCCAAAGTCAAAGCCTGTGGGTTGTTGCTGTTGTGGAGGTGGGTATGAGGGCGATGCTAGCGGTGTGTAAGCACCGGGGATGGGAACAGCAGCGTACTGCTGTTCACCCGGCGCAGCAGCAACATGCTCGTTCCTCCTTTCTTGGAAGCCTGGAGATGGCAGTGGTGGGGATACGGTGCCTGTCCGTGCGGGTGCAGAGTCGAAGCCATCTTGCTCGATTTTGGGTGTGGCACCAGTGACCTTGATAGGCGGTGCCTGGAGAGTGAATGGTTGGGGCTGAGCAATCTCGCGAGCGTAGGCGTATTGGACCTTGTCGCTCTCGCCAGCCTCAGCGGCAGAGTGCGGGTCAACGTACATTGGGTGACCTGGAGGTGGGCGCCAGCCGCCGGAGCGGGGAGACATGGGACCAAAGCCAGGGGTGTTGGGTGCGGATTGCGAGCGAAGCTGGGCGAGGTAGAGATCGGAACGGGCACGGTCGCGCATGGCCATGGACTTGCGGAGCTTGCGCTTAGACCAGAAGCGGTAGAAGACGATGCCGTAGATGGCAATGACTAGAACTTCGATTACGACTTCGATGATGCAGCAAACGAGAGCCCAGTTCTGATGAAGCGTTAGTATTCATTCTCCGTTGCCACCATGAAGAGTGTGCTTACCTGAAGACGGCAGACAAGGCCGTAGGCGATATCGTCCTCGAAGAGATGTCGTCGCTTATTGTCAACGCAGGACCAACCCCACATGTCTTTGTTGTTGTTCTGCGCTTTGCTTTGGTTGAATACGGCTGCACCAACACCCCACATGACGATGCTAAAGATGAAGAATCCAACAGCAAAGACAGTGTAGTATGCCGCAACCTTTTCAGCTCGATGGTGACCTCCTCTCCAGTAGGCGATGATGACAAAGATAGACATGACGAGGGAGACGCAGGCGATGGACAGCAGAAGAATCTGAGGCCAGACCTTGGTGTTATCGGCCCATGGTGGAAGGTTGTTCCTTGGTGCGAGGTTCTTTGTGGCGTTGAAGATGGCAAAGGCACTGGCGACCATGGCAAGGACGATGAGCGAGCAGGCAAAGTTGATGCCCCGTAGGAAGATCTTTGCTAGTCGAACGCGAACCTTGATTTTCTATGCATTATTAGCAACTGCATGTGACTGAAAGACTGACTGAAGACTTACCAAATCCTTTGCTTGCTCCTTGTCGGTCATGGCTTCCCGCTTCTCAAGCTGATGCTCTTCCCGGAAGGTAGGGCTCATGATTGACATTGCGCCGGCCGGCGTCCGGGGCGGAGCGCCAGGCGACTTCAATGCACTCTTGAGTGGGGTTTTGGGGGTTGGTGGAGGAAGGTACCTCCGATCGGTTTCCTCCATCTCGACGGATTGCATGTAGCCGAAGCCTGTGTCTGCGATCTGGGGTTGTGGCTTGTAGTGGTTGGTTGGGTACTCGATGGGCGACCGAGGAGGATCAACCGGCGAGTAGACTGATGTTGCTTCGGCGAAGCGTGCTGCGCGTGGAGTCCTGACGTCGAGGGAGTCTTTGGAGCCTCGTCGTTCAATCGTGATCTGGGTAATCTTCTTATCGTTGGCGGCCATTCTAAGAGAATCCAAGGTTCACTCGAGGAAGCTGGAGGCTTTCATGTAGTGGAGACGGGAGAGAGAGGTAGAAATGTAAGACAGGACGACGACGACCAAAATCCAGGCCAGCTTAGACCAGTCGCAAGAGGGTAAGAGAGACAAATGATAAAAGACGCACGACGTATTACAATAAGAGACCTGCTGGAGAAAAGACGAGGTCTAGCAATGGGCGAAGCGCTGGGCTTTTAGGCTCAGGGCGCTTCGAGGAGGGAACGGTCGAGGATTGGATAGTGGGGAGCACGGATGGTAGCAGGTGGAGAAGGTTGCGATGGGAAAGCGGGCGGGTACTTACAACGTTCTAAATGTATGGCGCCTAGAGGAAGGCTGCTGGGAGTACTGCAGGTGGGCGTCTGATAGGCTGGGTGGGGAGACGAGCTGGATGCCAATGGCGCGCAGAGCGAGGAGGGGAGTGGTGGCCCAGAAATAGACGCCCGGATGAAGTCGATAGACGATTTACAAACGACGCGCATCCAGACCTGGACACTGCAGCGCGAAGAGCTTGGTTTAAGGGCAAATCTGACAGGGTGCTTATGCCGTCAGTCAGCGTGGCAATGGCAGTTTTCCTCGCAAGGCCGTTGGATGGGTCAGTTGTGCGTGTCTGCTCTTGCGCCTCCAGACGTTGTGAGGGCCGTCCGAGGTATAGGTAAAACGAGGAACAAAGCCATGCCCACGCCTCGTGCCCTCGGGAGCGAACTCTGTCCAGCGAGCTGGCGTCGCGGTCGGCAGGGCATTGAGTGGCTGACGTCCAATGAATGCAAGACGTTTGACGCCTGCAAAACGCGACATGGTGGTTGTCGCCGGTGAGTGGTTGAAGGGTGCAGGGCCTGTGCATCACGCAGAGTGGGCGCTAGGGCGGATTAAGCTTGCGGGAAGCGCGCAGCAAACTCAGACGACCAATGGCGGCGGGAAGGAGCCTCCAAGACGAGAGGGAAGGCGCCGCCCCGCTCTGATAGCGGCCCACCTCTCGTCGAGTCCAAGGGCGACATCGAGTCCCGACAAGACAGCAACAGCAAGACACCACGGCACCTGCGTGTCTCCGATCCGCCCTTGAGCAAGCTCGGTCGCGCCATGGCCCGCTGGCAACGACTCGAATAAAGGATCCGCACGCCCGCTCGCACTTCATCAGCAGCCCATCTGGATCAATCCAAGAAGCCTTGGCTGTAAGCAGCTATCAATGCCGCTGTCGTGATGTGAGCGCTGCTGCATTGTGCGCCCAGGGTCTGCTGCACGACCAGGCACAACGCATGCTAATTCCCTTCGGATCGACTCACTAGCCTCCGACCATGATATTTACCTGGATATCGTCGGCCCTCTAGCTGCCTTAAGGTAGTTTTGTTTCGTTTCTTGCTGCACGGTTATTTTCGTCCATGGCTGCATCGTGGGGTAGTACGAGACCATGGCAATGATGCGCCAGGCTGCTAATAGGGAAACATCCTTCTTAGCAGTGGCGCGTTCGGATCTCTCATGAGGCCACGTTGGTCTTGGTCAGTGGGCCGTCGCGTGAGTTGACGGGAGGATGGAGACTGCCATGAGTTGCGCCTGTTCCCGCCCGTGCCTCATCACCTACGCCCCAGGGCCCGTCCCACTATGCAGACGATGCTGATGAAGTTCGCAGTTATCAGTCTCGGCTTACTCGTAGTCAAGACACCAACGCCCTTCCATGAACATCACGAGTACAAACCCGGGCTAAAGCTCTGCAATCTTCGCAATCGACACAGCCCAAAACTTGTCCCATCTCCAGTCGCTTCATCGTGTTCCTCGTCCCAGCCTGCAGGCGCCTGCATTTGCCACTCCTCCTCCATCATGCTAAATCTTACCAGCCTCCCATCTTCACCAGCCTAATAATACCCCATCTCATGCATATCCTCGTTTCCATGCCCATAATTTACTACACTGGGACCATCCGTTCTCCGCCGGATGCACGGCGGATGATCAGCCGGGGCCAAAACGGTCAGGCAACCCGTTTCGAAACTATTTTACCCTCTTTTAGCTTTCCAAAAACTCTGGCAGCACGTGGCCTGTGCGAGCAACTCCATAATCCTCCGCCTCCAGCTCGGATGGACTGTGCAATGTCAGAATATCTCACTCTAGTAGTCAATACAGCCATCTGATACCGGCATCCTTCACATTTAGTTCTGCATGCAACTATTTAGAGACTGCAGCACGCGACGCCGTTCCACATCTGCCTAAGAATACGAGACTCAGTCCTAAGTAAGCTTCCCACGCTCCTTCATACTTTAGTCCATTTCCAAGCAGTGTGAACAGCTTCTGCGTCATACACGTGTATATCACTATCACTAGATGTTTGCATAGGGCTTGAGTTGGTACAGAGGTGATGATGCAAGGCTATTGAATACACTACAAGGCCAGTGCCGTCATTACCGTTCAGACATTGCTTCCGAAACTTCTCCGCTGCCGCGGCTGCCGTTTAAGCATTTGTTTAGAAGCTTCTCCACCACCCCGGTTTGCAAACAACGTCATTCTCCGGAGTCAAAGGCACGACCGCTACTACCTTGGTGCCCACGGCCTGACTTCATCAGCATCCTCCCCTTCGTTACTGAAGAGGCGACACATTGCTAGTAATCAAGTTCAGGGAGACAAATCTCGTATAATGGCATCTTGTACGTGTGCCTTCGCCAGCAACTGGCAGGTATATTCAGTGGATATCTGACAAGTGGCAAGTCTTGTATTCTACCAAAACAGGCAGCAAAAGCACATACCCGCTCCCAGACGGCCTCAACGCCGATGGCATTCTCCAGATCCTGCACAATCATTCTGTGCTATCCCAGATATTCTGGCCACACTCATCTGCCACGATCCGCATCCAGCCGAGTTCCATGTCAAACGTGTCCACTTTTCTCGTTGGGCAGCATGGGTCGGAATACAAAGCGACCCTGTGTAGCCAGCCAGATGGGGTGGTGTGCACCGAAGAAATGCCGCTAGGACTCAAGGCTACAATCACTTATGCGGTAGTTGATCGCGATCGACTTGCCAAACAGCAGATCGCACGTAGCGAAGAAAGCGAAGCAGGCTCGACTTCAAGCTTCCTCAATATGTCCAACTCGTCCACCACACCGCTGGATCACCAACACTACCTGCTCGAGGAGATAGCAGCAACTGCTTTCAAACCACTCGCTTCTTTCATCAAAATAGCGCAAAACAAGCTCATTCCCAAAACAGAGAATCTAGTGAAGGTGTTGGAGCATCTGGGTGGGCCGCAGAAGGATCTCATTGCTGCGTTGTCGGAGTTGAATGGCATCAGAACACATGTAGATGCCGATGTTTCGCTGGACAAGGCAAAGGATGGATAGCATGTAAAGTTTGTCGCTCTGTGGCCGCAAGTATACTTGACAAGCGCAAAACGTACGAGGACGTACTTTACCAACGGCGGTCTCGACTTTGTTGACTGCTTCAGCGACTCGCAAGACGCCTGTCTGCTCAACACTGATTCGGACTACCAGCAGATAGATAGGGATGTGCAGTATTACTACCCTGGTCTAGAGAATACCTGGCGCGCCAAGGTTCAGATTTATGATCAGAGCGCTAGGACTACGATTGGGTCGGGGAGTGTTGCGGCTTTTGGAGAAGTGATCATGCGAGCAGTGTAGTGCCATGTCAGGCGTCCGAATGGTATGCCCGCGTCTCATCAATGTCGGGCTGCGTAATGGTCTTTCACGGGGATACGAGTTGAAGGGTTGCCTCGGTGTGAGGGGTGTAGATAATACAAGTGAAGGATGAATGTATTATCATATGAATACAAGCGCGTCTTGACGCTTGCTCGAAAGCTGTCCACAGTGAGATTATCAGAGGATGAATAAATAGAAAATAGTACAATGGAAACGTCATCCGGCCTTCCATGAAAGAAGTGACGCGAAGGAGGGCCTCATTAGTCCTTCAAAACCCCAAGTTAAGGTCCAGATAACTTCTTATCTCTGCCTAACATCTTACCATAGAACAACGGTTCAGGATACAGGTCCTCTTCATCGTCGCTTGACGAGTTTTGTTCACTGACCTGATACCTATCCAGTCCATCGTCTACCCTACCCTGGCACGCAAAGCTAATTTCCGAAAATGTCTTCTTTCTCCCTGAGTGTACGCTGTCTAGAGTCTGCATAGCAGTTTGCTTCAACGACTTACCGGTCTTCAACGTTGGTCCTACGACCTTGTCGTGCCAGTGTGTCGAGTGAGCGTCGTCGTTCGCATCTACATTTGCTTTCCCTCGGCCGTTGCGTTTGCTCTTAGCAGGACTGAGATGGAACCCAGGGAGATGAAAAGCTCGAGGTGAGGGTCGGCCAGTTTCTTTAGTCTTCTCATGGACGTAAGACGGCTGGGAAAAGGGAACGTCAGTGCGGGTTACGGGAAGGGGAAGTTCAGCTGTAGGTCCGGCAATTCTACCGCGTTCTACAGTTACGTTGACTGTGGTATCTTGGATTGGTTCTATTAGTGGGACAGGACGTGAGATCTTGGACTTCAAAGATTGAGGTGCTCTGGAAGGCGAATGTTTCCACCATGAGTTGGACTCTTCCTTCTCAGCGGGCTGTTGGAAATCTACGATTGGCACGTCTTTAGCTCTTCGTACCTTCGGTGCTGTGTCTATTCTTGGGAAGGGAGGGTGAGCGTTGCTCACATCAACTATTGATCCAACTGTTCTTTCAGCGGCTATCGGTGGTCCATAGATTGAGCTCAAGAAGCCAGAATCTCTCCGCGCATCTGGCCTGTCGGGTATGTTTACTTTGTTACTGTTATCAGTATGAGACGTCCGCGGCCGCAGCGGTGGGAAGAGAACTCCATCAGGACTTGTTGGGGGTGGAAGAGGACAAGGCGGTCGCCTTTCGATCTTCACTTTCACCATTGTTTCGGGAGGCCTGATCTCAGAGGGCCCATTATCAGCTTTCTTATGGCCAAGTGTCTGCTGGTACGCTTCCCAAACCTTCTGTCCCTCACCCTTTGGGCCTGCAGTGTAGATGTTCTTAGCTGTGCGGTACCAATGAGTCGGACCGGAAACAGCTTGCTTCTGTTCACGTTTTTGCTTCCGGATTGTAGCTTCATCAGCATCAGATGGTTTATCCAAAATCTGGTTCTTCCGCATGCGCTTTGTTCCTTGCTCAGGCCGTACTGTTGACGCTGAACAGCGAGGAAGGACGGCCGAGTCTGATATCTTCCAGGTCTGTTCAAGCTTCGAGAAGTCGAGAAGTCTTGGTGCTACTACATAGCTTTCCTGGTATGATACCTTCGTATTGGTTGCAGAAGGCTTTGAAGATAGTGATGGTGGTTTTGTCTCGTGTCTTATCGATGACGACACACGCGTCTCGGTGGGCCCGTCATTTGAGTCGCTGAGTAAACTGAACTTGTAATGGTTGGGCTGTGTTGGCCGCTGCTCAGTGTCAAGTTCCTGTTTGATTACCATCGAAGGGCCAGCTGTGACCCATTTCGTACCCCTCGTGTTCCGTCGCATGCGGTGTTCATTCTTGGTAAATGGATTAATGACTGTTCGCGGGTTAGCCATGGCGGAATGAGCTTGAATGGTTATGACCTCGCCTTCGGAGATTGACGGAAGGGCACGTCTAGCTGTACGGTGTGGACGTAGTCGATGACGTAGTGAGCAGTGGTTACGGGAAAAGGGTAGCGAAGACTTGATGTGGAGCGAGAGAACACGCGCGCACGAGAACGACAATGCATGCAAAACTCTTGAATGAAGTCAAACATCGTATTTCAAGTCACAGTACAGGCGTGTGAGACAAAGCGTTACAAGATAGAACAGCGCTCCAGACTATACAGGCCTTGTTCTGAGCGCTCAAGACGACTGAACAAAGCAATTCACTTCTTACATCCTTTGCAGACTCTTTTGCCTCATGACATCATGAGCAGGTTATTTTTTTTGTAAAAGCATTGTCGCGCAAGGCAGGTCAGACCAGTGACAGCATCTGACGCTAGTAGTAGTGTGAACTCAGAACATGTTAAGAGTGAAAGCAACGAGAGAGACGACGCATCGTGATGCCCTGGAGCCTTGCCAAAAAAACCTTCTCGAGAGGTAGCAGACATAGCCCAGCAGCCAAGGCAACACCAAGCACCACGAAAAATGTATGGTGAGTGAACGCATGGAGATTGAACGTAAAGCTTTTGCCATTAAACGCTATCATGGAAGCGCCTCAGTATATAAGGCTGAGCGCAAGGAGATTCGTGAAAAAGGAAAAGGAAAAGAAGTTACTCCTATGAGCACTCTACGCAGCCAACCTCAATACCCTCAATCACCAGAGGCTTACTGTACTCACTTGGGACATTGCCCATTCCCACATCGACATCCTTCACACTGCCCGTCTCACTCTGTGTCTCGCTACCAAGCGCAGAATCGCTCTTGCGCCTCCTAGCCTCAGTCTCTTCTTCAATAAACGCGTACTCGTTCCTCCAATCACACAGCATCTTGCTCGTGACGTTGCTACCGCCACAAAGCACAATGACGACCTTGTCTTCTGGGCGGACTGGGCGGCCGAGGGCCTTCTCGAGTCGTCCATCATAGCAGAGAGCGACGTTAATACCGCAGGCGAGCTCTACCATGATGCGCTCATCGTCTGCGAGGCGCCAACAGCCCATTGCTGCTTCTGCGTCGGGTAGAACGATGCTTCGAACGTTGCCTCGCTGTGCATATTTGAAGGTTGCGTCTGTTACGCGGGCGCAGCCTAGGCTTGTTGCTTGTGATGTGATCTTGGGTAGTGTGATGAGTTCCTTCGCTTGGAGCGCTGCGTTGAGACTCTCGGCGCCAGCAGTCTCCATGGCGAGGATGGTTGTCTTGCTCATTTGGTGTTTATCCATAGACTGGCAGATACCGTTGATTAGGCCGCCGCCGCCGACAGAGCAGATCAGTACGTCTGGCTCGCCTGGGAGTTGAGCCGCGATCTCGTCCATGCAGGTGCTGTTGCCTTGCCAGATGTCTGGGTGATCAAAGGGTGGGCAGTAGATGGTCGAAGTTTGTGCCTGATGGATGCGTCAGTGTCTCAGTCAAATTGTATACCTGGAGAGGACCGTACGTAGGGCATTACATGCTCCTTGAGATATGTGTCTGCATCTTTCCAAGCTGCACCGTATTGGATAACCTCGTACGCGCCCGCTGCTCGTAGTTTGGCAACCATCAAAGGTGCTGTGGCGGTGGGTACAACGACAGTGCACGGTAAGTTGAGAGCGCGAGCAGAGTGGACGGCAGCGAGGCCTGCATTGCCACCGCTGGATGCGAATATGTGAGGGCGCGAGCCTTCTGGGAGTTCTGCGAGACGACGGAGGATGTAGTTGCCAATTCCTCTGGTAGACGAATCAGTACACTATTGAGTAGCGGCTGAAGGGATCGATGCTTACCGTGACTTGAATGATCCAGAAGGTTGGAGATTTTCCAGCTTGAGAAAGATTCTGCTTCTACGATTTAGAATTCCCTTTTCTTGAAGATGGGGCCATATTGTGACGTGAAAGCGAGGAGAGGGGCTAAGGTGAGAGGGAGTGTGACCGTACCATCCCGCTGCTTCAGACAGCGCGTACGACTCTCTCAGAGGAGTCTGAACCCATGGGTTTTGCTGGGGCGCCTCGTCGATGTAGCACTCCTTGACGGCCATGATGAAAGTAGGGAAAGGATTGGGGTATCACAGAATTGTATTAGAAGCAAGTGTAAGATGAGAAGTAGACGAAGAGCTTGATGTTTGGTGTTCAGAAACGCTTTGTTTGGTCGCAGTCTAAGGGTACAAGAGCCACTCCTTTATCTCTACCATGATGGCTTATCGCTCCGCAAGCACCCGCAACCCTAGTGTCCAGGTCCTGGAGCCAGAGGGGTAAAGGCAGCACTGTGGCACATCGAATCCACGATGTGTTGTATCGATTACCCTATAAAGTGCATAAATTACCCTATAGATTCTCGATAAGGAACAAGCGACCACGCTGCGACTGCAAAATGACACAAGCATGAGACCGGTATGCAGCAGCTTGGGCCAGGGTTTGGATTTCCAGAAGCGGTTATCAACGGCGGGACCATTTTCTGCCAGGGTTTGCCGCCTCCAAACAGTGGTGGACTTGGCGCGGCCTTGCCTATCAGAGGACGCGCATCAGTTGTCTATGCGGGTGATGAGTCCAGAAGGCCCGGAGCCGATAACAACTCGGCGAGACGGTGAAGACGGGGTTGGCTGGGAGGCTGATGTTAGGATGACATGACGGCTGCGGGATTGGCGCGAGCGATCCCCGACGGAAAGGAAAACTCTCGCACATGAGTGGAAGACGCGTCCATGCTCCCATCACGATGCAACTTTCCTGCGATAGCTATCGACGTTTCAGACAGGGCTTCCTCAGAACGAAAACTGCATGCGGACGTCGGAACAGATCATGCGGATCCGCAGACCATGTTGAAAACGCTAGTTGGGTATCTCTGTAATGCTTCTCAAGTTTACGCTAATCATGGGGTTTACGCAGCAACCTTTGGTTGATCGAGGAGGCCTTTCCTAAAGTTCCAGTAGTTTGCTCGGATCGGATCGTACTTTGTCGCCAACAGCTCCAGGGCTTTCTCCGCATTTTCTTTGCTGTTCTCTTCTTCCGCATAGATGTCGGCTAGGAGATCAAGAGCGTGGCTTGAGTGGACGTCGTCTGGCCTCTGCACATCAGCGAATTCACCCGCGAAGTCCTTGAGGGTAGACTTGGGAAGTTCCGCTGCGCGAATGATACCCAAGACATAGTTCCATGGGCTCTGGTTCTGGGGCGCTTTCCGGATGGCTGCTTTGGTGTACCTATGGGGTTAGTATCGTCGAGCAGCTTGGGGCGATAACAGACATACTCTATCTCCCGATTCACAAGATCTGCGCTTGGCTTCTCCTCTCTACCGCCAACGACTAGGTAGTAGCGATGGTTCCAGGCAGAGTTGTTGCGCACATCTTCCTCGATCATGCTGTGTGTCCACTCGAGCTCTTCGGGCTTGTCGAAGAGATCGAAGCGCTTGACCAGCCATTGCCTGTAGCTCCACACATGGTAGTTCTTGGAGTCCAATTCCAACATGGAGTTTATGAACTCTGGTTCGCCCTCACATGAGCCGAGCTCGTCGATGATGGTGTGTCGATGGTGCCAGATCTGGTAGTTCTTGAGGTGCTTTAGTGCGGTCGGGTTGAGCCATGCGATTTCATCCTTCAGTGATCGACCAATCTCAGAGATGGTTTTGGCGCGGTAGAGCCTGCGGGGGGGTTAGCAGGGTGGGTGTTGGAGAGCTCCCTGTGCGACTGCTGGTAGGCAGTGTCTCCTCCGAAACTCCGCAACTTGACCGAGCATACGACGTACCAGACAGTGTAGTGCGCGGGGTTCATGCTGATGATGTGCTCCGTGAGGCCGAGCACCCGCTCGCTGAACTCGTTCTTTGCCATGACGGCGCGCAGGTAGCCCATGGCCTCGCTGTACTCCTCCGTGTATGCGATGGCAGCGAGCGGATGCAGGCCGCCGTCATCCTGGGGAAGTGGCTCAATGTCCGCCCATGCCTCGTCGTCGTGGTAGTATTTCGGCATTCTTTCCCTGACGCCTTTTGCCTTGGGGTTGGTGGGATATGCGCTCGCAGGTAGCAATGCGCGCAGCAGGCGATATGGCGACAGGAAGATGGTCTCGAGCCAGGCGCGAATGAAGTTCAAGGCCATAGTGGGGTGCGAGCTTATGTCCGCTGCTTGGCAGAAAACCAACGGTTGCCATGCTCTTTTCAACCGTGTTCGCAGAACAATAGCAAGCCATTTGCACATGCATCAGACGCCCTTTCCACGCTTCCCGTTTGTGTAGCCCTCCAGTCGCACAATAGTACGCCCAAGGTCCTTGGTGTGGCACCCGTATCCGCCTGCGAATAAGGGTGCCCCTTCCAGGAATCTGAACTACTACTCTAGCACCAGAAGCCATGTGCGATGAACAATACTAAGACACCACAATGTAGCTGGGGCTCACTGACATGCAGTCGCCGAGGTAGCCTGCAAGGAGGCCTACAGGCGGACCAAGTGTGTGCATGCGAGCATGATTGATTTCTCAGATGAGGCAGGCGTGACTGGTGGTCATAGGACATCCATCGCAGCAGCTCCTGCACTGGACGCATTTCCAGATGCACTTTCCCCAGCGACAATCCACTCGCGCTTTCTCCCACGTCAGCAGATAGCAGATACGCCGTTGCCAGAGCTTGCCCAAACAGACAAGAGGTCGTCTGCTGCATTACCTCTTCCGCTTCAACCCCTCCACAGCCTTCACTATCGCACACACAAGAGCAACACGCTTACCAGCCCCGCAATGCCCGTCGCGGAAGAGCTGGCGGCCAAAGACGCCTTGATCAAGAAGCAGCGTGACGTCATCGCCAAATACCTCATCCTCGACATCGAAGACTTTCTGGCCGAGGCGCGCGAGAAGGCAGAAGCCGAGACGGCAGAAGCGTATGAGCGTGCGTTGGCAGAGGAAAAGGCCAGGGGCAGAGTATGTCGAGCTCATAGGGGCTCATCGCCAAACCGTCGTCGCTCGCTCTGCATCGCC